TCTTTCTAGAATGTACTTATGCTCCTGCAAGAGGGACAGCTGATGTCATAATTACAACATATTACCACTGACATGATCCAAATTTCTAAAACATGCTTTCATGGTTTTCTACAGCTTCCACAGAACACAAGTAAAATATCTCAAGAAGTCACAAGAACAGGAAAGATAAACAGAAGTATCAAGTTTTTGACCTTTCAACAGAAGTCATAATTTAAAAGGGTTCGCCGCTCTCATTTATACTTCTTTAGTCTATCTTAGACTTAAAAAAATAGAATACAGCTACTGGCTTCAGTCATAAACTCGGATACTCAAGTTGTCCATTCACCTGTTAAAAGAGCGAGTGTAGGTAGTAGCAGTGAAAGCTTCAAGCTGTACCACAACATCCTTTGAACCCTGACCTAAGGGACCAACTCCGATAGTCCGCAGGAAGTTGGGTTTCCAGGACCATTCAGCCTCACTGCTGAGACTGTCAATAGAAGTGCCATTCTCTGATGTAGACAGCTCTGCACTAGGAGCTGGTCTAACAATCACATCACATAGCCTGCCAAACAGGAAAAGGACAGCATTCGGGCACCACCGACCTAGGATAGAAGTGAACTTGAGACTGGGGCTAAAAAGCTCTACTGCTAATCCTCCACCCTAAATCCTGTAGTCTGTGTATACATCTTAAAGGAAGTTCTGTTACCAAAAAAAAAAAAAAAAAAAGCAACTATACAAATCAGCCACAAGATGGCGCAAGCATCATAGTATTACAACATCAGATGCAAAAGACATTCATCATTCAACACACCACGTCCTCATGGCTTAGGCAATCTTATCCTGGTACATCACTTATTTACCCTTTCTTTTTCTACTTACTGAGACTTTGTCAAATACTTTATACAATGTTTGTTTTTTGTTGTGGTTTGTACAAGTTTAGGGGTTTTTGTTTGCTTGATTTTATTTTCTTAAGAAGCAAACAATAATCTTAAACTTGAAAAAATCCTCAACTACATTTTTCCTCCTTTTAGCTGGTTCATTTTCCTGGACATGACCATGCCCTAGCTAACCTCATACTAATACTGAAGGAAGAAATTACAAGAATGGCTTAAATACATGAATTCTAATTTTTTCATTGTTTTCAAACATACAAAGAAGCTATTAAATTGATTTTTATGAAAATGTGAAGTTGAGGGTAGGGAGTTGCAAAGGATCATGGAGAGAACATCAGAATGTGTGTTTAGGTTATTTGATTCTGCTCCTGGCTCTAAACAGCAGTGTGACTTTAAGGTAAGATATTTGGTCCCCCTGTTCCTCCATTTCCTCATCTCAAAAATGTGACTGGATTTGAACTTCTCTGGACCTAATATTCCTATTACTCTGAGACTGTAAGAATCCAAAATGAACAATATGAGGCTATAAGAGGCCAAAAATCAAGAAAAATGGAATTAGGCAAGTGAACAGAATCCTCAGGGGTAGCAACAGTGTAAAAGGGAACATAGCGGTGACTGCTGATTTCCCTTACCTTCCCACAACTATGACTGCAAATTATAACCCATATTTTAATATCTTATAAGTATGTATTTAGTCAGCTACAGATTAAATTCTATGATAGGTCATTGTAAAGAGCAGACTATTAGTCTTTTTTCATTCTCAGATGTATACAATTATCCACTAAGGATTAATAAACATTAAACTCCACTGAACTTTCATGCCAGTAATGACAGAGTAATTGATACAAGACCAACCCTCTCTCTCTAAACAACTATAACAATGGACAAACTGTGTGAAGCAATCATTTAAAAAAACTGGACAATAGGCAGTGTAGGACTGAAATCCTGTGAGGAGAGAACACTTGAAATGAACCCTACAATCACCATGGCTCTCAGCCCGTAGGCACTGACCAGATTCCAGCAACGGCGGGTGGAGCCCAAATGGAGCCTAACATGTCTCTAAGCTTAGGAAGTAGATACTGGAGGTGGGGACTGCCGAGACAGATGAAACTTAGCAGAGTAACGGAGAGAAGGAGCTCCAGAAATCTATAAAGGGGTCCTGTTAAGTCTTTGGCTGAAAATGAACTTGCGTATGTAGAGGTAAGAGGTGTAACAGAGGACATTTATTGGAGAGCCATGGGTGGAATGGAGATTCTGGAGGTCACCTAAAGCAGGAAGATACAATTCTGACCAAACAGAGGGTGGAATATTCACTGAACGTTCCAGTCATTCAAATGGAATCCAAGAAAGACAAACCTCAAAAGTCAGGCTACTCTAGACATGTCCTAACAAAGTTAACAATAAGCCTTGAAAGGATCTGTTAGTAAATTATCTGCTTGTCCAAATAAAGGCCAACATTCTCTAAAACAGGCACTGTCAACAGAGGTGACTCTATGCCCAGAGGCAAGAACTGGTTCTTGGGAGGATGAAGAATCTTAAATATTACAAAGATGCATGGCCCTCCAAAGGGCCACAGAACATGAACAGATGTACAGACACACAGTATATTTATGGTACTAAAATTTCCTGGGGAAGAGAGGAGCAATTAGTAAAAAAAAGTCTAAAAAAGTTCCTTAGTGGAGGGCCAATGAAAAAAGGATTGAGATGCACTACTCCAAAGGAAACCAACAAATTCTAGGCTTTTAACAATTCAGCAGGCAATGAGAACTCTGTAGGATTTTGTGGAACAGTGTAACATATTCAGATCAGTGTGCTAGAGTGGAGTGGAGGGTGGTTTAGATTGGGAGAAGAACGGAAGGAGGCAAGGCTACTACAATCATCCAGACTGAGAAACATGAAGGCTTCCAGTAGTGGAGATGACAGCAGGAGCTATTTAAGTGACAGGATTGTTAACGCTCAGTGACCAACTGGATGCACAAGAGGATGAAGAGGGAGAAATTAAAACATCACTCTGAAGTGACTAGTACTTGTCAAATTTAAGTGTTTGTGTTTAAAGGACTCTGGGGTAGCCGTGCCCAGTAAGCAGTAATAAATATGAATTTAGAGCTGTAGGGAGTTCTGAGTGAGAAATGCAAGAGAATTATAGCTGTGGTATTGAAGCCGCGGGAGCGGGTGATAACACGAGGAGTAGGACAAGGGGGTAAGTGGAGAAGCCTGAAGAAACCAGGCATCTGAGGGACAGGCAGAGGAAGGAGGAAGAGGGGCCAAGAAAAGAAAGCAAGCAGACAATGGGGTTGAAGAAAAAAGTACTGGGCTGTCCTCTACCTTTCCCCGTTGGCATAGATGTTCCCCCAAAGTCTTGATATTACAAGGGGAATAGGAGAACGTCTTCATTTGCAATGAACACTGCAATTGAAGGACCAATTGAAGATTGAAGGACCAATCTCTACTATTTTTTCCTGGGATTCAATACTTTGAGGTATGGTATATGACTATAAGAAATTATCAAATGTCTTTAAGAAGACATTCTTCATTCCATTAAAAGACAAAAGAATTAAAAATAAAAAGACAATAAGAATCAAAAGAGAATTACATAAATATTTCCTACATTCTATTCGAATGCCTCACGTGATAAGGTAAGGTAAAGTGGACACAGCTGTGAAACAGGAGGCAAAGGACCACTCACTGCTCAACGCCCTACAAACTGTTTCTCATCAAGCGAGAGTAGAGGCCAAGGTCTTTACCATGCCTGCAGTGCCCTTAGAGGTCTTTCCTCTGCCCCCGCTTCTGTAACCACAGGCACCCCTCTCTCCCACTTGGGCACAGAGAACAAACAGTCTAGCAAAATGGGCACAGAGAACAACACCCTAGCAAACAGCCACACTGCCCTGCTGGTCACTGTCTGTCCATTTACTCATCTTCTTTATAGCATTTATCACCACCTGAAATTGAGATAGATGTATTCACTTGTTTCTTGTCTTCCCCATTAGAATATAAATTCCACGAGAGCAAGAACTTTCTCTTAGTCACGGCTCTTTTCCAGCACCTAGGACACTGCCTGATACACTATAGGGCTCAAGAAGGACTTGTTGAATGAAATCCATAATCAAGCTGGACCTCTTGGTTCTATCACATGTAAAATGGGGATAGTAATCCGCATCTGCTCTGTCTACCCTTTCTACAGTGAAATGAATAATGCGTGTTAAAGCACTTTATAAACTGTGAGTCCCGTACAACAGAAGGTGGTGGTGGTGGTGGTGAAGGACGTTTCCTGACACAGCAGAAGAGAGCTGCGGCAGCAAATAGACAGATGAACACATGAATTTTTTAATGATAGCCTGGAGACTAAATGTTTAGCTCCTAGCTGCTGTTTCCATTTTTCTTTATAATAGAAAATATATCTGAGAAATGCTTATCCAAATACATGATACCTAAAGGACTCTATTCTTCAGGAATGTAATTCTTTCTTTTTTTTTTTTTTGGCGGTACGCAGGCCTCTCACTGTTGTGGCCTCTCCCGTTGCGGAGCACAGGCTCCGGACGCGCAGGCTCAGAGGCCATGGCTCACGGGCCCAGCCGCTCCGCGGCATGTGGGATCTTCCCGGACCGGGGCATGAACGTGTGTCCCCTGCATCAGCAGGCGGACTCTCAACCACTCTGCCACCAGGGAAGCCCTAATGTATCTTTTTAAGACTCTAATAATAAAGGCTATGAAGCCTATCCCAGAAAAAAATACACATAGAAACACACATCTAAAAATACTGATATAATTTCAGGACATTCACGAGCCCCTGAAGTCCATCCATGAACACCGCAGTTTAAATACTGGAAACTCTGAAAAGGCCCAAAATGGATTTCAAAATTCTAATAAACGCTAAACACCAATAAATACTACCTAAACTCAAAAAAACCACATGATTTGGATCTATTTTGTGAGTCAGGAATCCAACATACCTCCAAGTCCATCATTAGCCAGTTCTACAAGCATGTTTAGATCCCCAAGTCTTTGGCACAAGCTCCAAAGACGATGCACTTAATGCTGACTGAGGCGTGTGGGGGCAACAATAAAAACAACATGAAAACCAGTGTGAAGACCGGTAAGTACAACAAAGGGTGCAATCTGACTCACAAAATCTGTCTCAAGTTTTCCCATTTCTTGCTTGTAGCTTCTCATCCTGTTGCTGTACATTCCTCGACTTTGGGGTGGTATCTCTCGGACTTCCAAATCCATCTGTTCCAACTGGAAGGGTGAGAGAAAAACATGACTTAAACCATATGCTTACTCTTCGTGTGACTAGACATTTCGAGCTGAAAGGATTTAATTCCAATTCCTCAGTTTACAACTTGAGGAACCAGACCCAGGGAGCTGCCTGTGGTCAATTGAACACTGGGACTATTTTTGTGCTCCATGTTTGTTAAGGTCAACAAATAGGTACTGAGTGCTTGCCAAGGGACATATAGAGTGCCAAAGTGTTTACTTTGTCAAGCATTTTTTAAAACTATGTGCATTAGGGCTTCCCTGGTGGCGCAGTGGTTGAGAGTCTGCCTGCCGATGCAGGGGACACGGGTTCGTGCCCCGGTCTGGGAAGATCCCACGTGCCGCGGAGCGGCTGGGCCCGTGAGCCATGGCCACTGAGCCTGTGCGTCCGGAGCCCGTGCTCTGCAACGGGAGAGACCACGACACTGAGAGGCCCGCATATCGCAAAGGAAAAAAAAAAAAAAAAACTATGTGCATTAAGCCAAACATCCTCAATGATAATGATCTGACTACCCGTGGAGTATCCTACCATTCCACCCAACCGGGTCTGGTCTTCTGACCCCAAACCACCAGAACTATGCCAAGATAAACCAAACCGTTATTTCTACAATTATTCTATGAAATGTCAGCCCAGTCTTAGTCATTTGGTGAAAATTCTCCTGGAAAGTCTTTTCTGATTAGGAAAATCCCATGGCAACCAATATGGGATCTTGAACTCCAGCCTTATACTTTTTAACCATGTTGATATGGAGTTAAATGGATACAGTAACGTAAAATTACATAAAGCTCACTGAAATCAGAGCAGGGCACTTTATAACAACCTGTCGTGATATAACAGTTTGCATACAACACATGAGCATTTAACGGGAGGCAATACAGAAATAGCATGATGGTTAAGAACACAGGCTTTCAAGTCAGACGCCTGTGTTCACAGTTCACATCGTAGGCTACACTGCTTACTAGTCATGCAACCTTGGACAGGCTTCTTAACTCCTCTGGGTCTTCCTCTCTCCATTTCTAAAAACAATACATCTTTTGTAGGGCAGTTATAAAGACTAAACAGGGTAATTCCTATAATGTGCTTAAGACAGTGTCTTACTTGGTAAACACTAGATTAATGTGAGTAATAGGAGTGATGAGTACTGATGAAGAAGAAGAAATACAGCAAGCATGATACAAGGTATCAGCTGTAGTTTATTTATACTTGGCATTAAAAAATAAAAACCAACAACTACAAATTGGCTCAGGCGATGTCTAATAAACTCACAACCGAAAATGTTGTCAGATATTTTGCCTTTTAAAGCAAATAATCCTAATAAATTATTTCCATGAACACTATACACTTGGCACTAAAAAAACTCTTACTTGTCCAGTGTTAGAGTCTGAGTAACAGTAGAACTCAGATAAACCAAAACACCATGTTTCGATTCACAGGCCTTAATTTTTATTAAAAAAAAAAAAAGATTGTTTTAATTACCCTTGATTTATGCAGTAACCATTTAAATTATTGACATGTCCCAAGGTAAATGTGAAGCACCAATAAGTTAGTTACTCAGCAAGGCAATTACTTAGAGCACTTCTCTGAGATCATCATTATGGACTTAGTTCTAATAAGGTTGAGCAGGATCATCCAGACAAATAACTGCAAAAGTACATGTAAGAGAAAATCTGAGCGTTAACTACATTTTTGTTTCAGGCGTTTTACAAGGACACTTAAAACTAACCAAAAGTACGTAAAGAAACAAACACTTTAAATGAAACCAGAAATAAGGCTAATATGCACTAGTTTCATGTTGTCACAACATTCATGTGACCAATGTCAAGTGGAAGACATGGTAACTATGAGACACGCAGTGTCCAAGAGATTCATGCAAACTGTTCAGCAGAAATACAACTCCTCCTAATACGTAAAATCATAATGAAGTTCTTCTCCCAGCATCCTCATCAAAAGGACAGTATATAATATAATGATCAGTATCCTTAATAAGGATGTCCTCAGAATTAAGTCAATCAGCTGCCTGATCATTTTAAACAAACAGAAACATATCTAACACAAAACTCTTTACGTCAGTAACAAATGGAGATGACCATATAAGCTCCATGGGGGTATAACTCGGTTTTTCTTGGTACAGTGAAACCTTGCTTATCAGAAAACCAGCTTTCTAACATCATCAAGTAAATCAATGTCTCCAAAAGAAGGCAGACCAATGAACCAAAACACAGGTTTTGGTGGCAAACAAAACAAAACAAAAACACTCCTACTGGGAACTCAACAAGATAAGAAGTTAACTCAAAATCCAAAGAATTGATCGGTTGTATTACTTATGGTAAAGCCTGCCAACCTGAAGGAAGAAGCGTCCCGATTGGCAGCTATGGTATATAAAAGGCCAGTCTTTTCACGTGAAGGCCAGGAAGCATGAGAGAAACAGCTGACTATAAAAAGGAGAGAAAGGAAACAGGAAAGTATTTGGGGGCTTCCCTGGTGGCGCAGTGGTTGAGAGTCTGCCTGCCGATGCAGGGGACGCGGGTTCGTGCCCCGGTCTGGGAAGATCCCACATGCTGCGGAGCGGCTGGGCCCGTGAGCCGTGGCCGCTGAGCCTGCGCGTCCAGAGCCTGTGCTCCGCAGTGGGAGAGGCCACGACAGTGAGGGGCCCACATACCGCAAAAAGAAAAAAAAAAAAAAGTATTTGGGATAAAAAAAAAAAAAAAAAAGGAAAACTTCCAAAAGAGAGGCAAACATGAGAAGCTGAGGAGTTAGAACAAAGCTGCCCCTGCAGAGATAGTGAGATAAGAAGTAGATCTTACAGGGTGAGGAGAGCGTAGGCATTCCGACAGCTAGAAAAGAAGCAGAGACAGGCAAGATGGAGCAGCAGCTCTGCAACTCGCCTCCTTCGCATTCACAGACATGGAGGAAAGGTCTGTGGTGTGATGGGAGGCTACGGCCGCCTATTCCTCAGACCCTGCAAAGCAGCAACCCCCCATGTATGGTCCCGTTAACAAATGTTACTCAGGTAAATAAGCCTGGGAAGTGCTGCCCCTCAGAGTCCCTTCCTAGAGACTTGTCACGCCTCGTAGCCTACTTTAGGGTCTAAGAAGGTTCTACAGAAAAATAATAACCAAAAAAAGACCCAGAATTGGAGAATTCTGTTTAAGCTACAGTTTCCCGAACTTGTTTGAACAGGCAACACCAGTTAACAGAAACACGCTTTGGGAAACTGTTGTAAGTTTATTAGTTAGAACACCAAGTAGTACCCTTCAGTATTTAGAAAGGCAACACACTCATTTAGGACCACAATGCAGTAACAAGTTGAATCAGACTTGAAATACCCGGCTTTGAAACCAAAAATTAGGACACAATATATTTTAATACTTTTTGCTCCTTGATTTGAGAAGCTAGCTAGAGCTCTGGGTTTAGCATGTCGAAGTACAAATCCTTACTTCGCCATTTACTGGGTGTGGGACTTCAGATAAGTTACTCAATCTTTCTAAGCCTCAGTTTCCCCATCTACAAAATGGGGGTAATGACACTCCTCTGTGGGTCTCTCACGCTTCTACATGCCTTGCTGGACATGCCAAGAATGCAAGGTCCTGACCACTGATTCCCAGGCAGGGAACAATGCTGGGGTAAGAAACAATGTGTCCCTTGGGGCAAAGAGCAGGCTTACTTACAGGATGTTATAAAGCAGTATGTTCCCCAGGCTCCATGTTCCTCTCCTATAAGATAATCTGCTGTATGTGTAGGCATTCTTCTAGGCAAAAATGCATCAGCCCTGTGGGAACTGGGCCTCAGTGAACTGACGCAAGCCTGCTGCAACTTTGGCAGCTGCTTTTGATGTGACTAATAAAAGCCTTTGGTCTCTGACCTAGGAATCTCATGTCTTCTATCAGCATCCATGAAATTGTGGCAGGCTCACTTATTGGTGAGCAAGCAGGGGAAAATCTCGATCCTTAACAATTTTTACAAATAGGTACAAATAGTACCTATCTCACAGGCTTTTGGTGAAAATTAAATATTAAAAAGCAAGTAATACGCTTAACCCAGTGTCTAGTACCCAGGATGCCTTTAAAAAGTGTTAGCTAGTTATAACCATTACGAAAAGTATTACGAAGGAATAAAAATTCGAGGTGGACATTTAATGAATCACCTTTACTAAGAAGAATAAAATCCCAAGAAGTGATTAAATTCTCTTCCATCTAAAAAGTGATGAATTCTGAATCATGAACTGCTAATCAGTAATGTTTCACATTTCTACAATGAATAAAAGAGACTTAGAGGAAGGCAGCAGATTAAACGGCTCTGCTTGTGTTTTAAATATGTTATCACCAAGTCTACACATACCAGTTCTTTTGCTTCTTCGAGCTGTTTCTCCACATTTGCAACCACCTGCTTCTTCTCATCTGAAACAAATAATAACATCAAGGAATTGCTAAGGATACAGATAAATTTAATATTTAAAAACTTCTATTTTTATGTACCTTTTTTCCTTTCTGGTCAGAGTAGAGAATTACCATTATCAGTCAAACGGCCATATCATTCTTTAGTGGGTTAGGAACTACTATAAGCCACTGATTCTAGGCTATCTGGAAATACATAATCCTATGGAGCACTGAATTAAGAGATGCCATAACATTTTTAAGAGAAACCAAAAATTATTTTGGCCTTTAGAAGAGACTGTGTCAACAACAGCAGATTTAGTGGTGGCATGAGGAATCCGCAAAGTCATGACTTTAATAAATTGGGAGTAGTGGATTTATGAATACAATTTAAAAGTCACATATAACAACAATTCCTAAAACTGGACAAGTTCTTACAATCCTTTAAAAAAATTATGCTTTCATTAAGAGTTGAGTGTAATGGAAGAAATATTTGAAGTCAGGACTACTGATTCTAACCCCAAAGCCATTACCTACTCATGGTTATAGGATCCTGGGTAAGAAAGAGTTTTTACTGAGACTCAGTCTAAACTGTCTAAAATGGAAATTTAAAGCATCTACTGGATTCTTTTTCGCTCAAATAAGCTGATGCAAGAGAAATTACTTTTAATTTGTGAAGTGCTAAGTGTCTGTGATTTTTTTCAAACTCAACCACAATCAAGTTATAACTCAACTATAATTCCTCATTCTGGGAGAGACATGTTCTAACAGATACTTTCAGAAAAATTTTCCCTACTCCCATTCCAAATCAATCAGCCCATTTATTTAGAGATGGCACCTGAGTTTTGTGCTAACCTAATTTATTGACCATTTATATTTTTGTCTACCTAACACCCTTCTCTTCTCAGGCAATAAGCCTTGCTCTTTTGAGGCTCTCCTTTTCACCAAGTAGGTCAATGGGAGATACTATGTTCTTCTATGACCCTGCCTCTCTGGTCACAGTGACTTGCCAAAGGATGGCCTTCTCTTTCCAGCTGGACTAATACTAGTAGCTCAATCCCTCTGGCTACATTGGTCTGGGGGGTAAGGGTGGGATGCATATAAGATCCAATCAGACTAATCAAAGTCCTGTAGTAACAGGAAAGTCTTTTCCTCTCTCTTGGTAGAGTTATAAGAATGTGAGTCTAGAAGCTGTTGGCATCCATTGCTCTAGCTACAAGGAGCAAGCCAATTTCCAGTGGTTGAGAATGAAAGCCTACATTTTACAAAGGAGCAAAGCTGATCGATAGACAGAAAGACAGAAAAAGATGAAATAGATTTTGTTAGTTAGCTTCTTGTTCCAGATAACTCTGGACCAGGTTTTACTTGACTTTATCATGGTTTGTTTTTTGGAAACAACACATTTCTTTTTCTTTATTTAAGTTGGCTTTCTGTGACTTGAAAACCAATGACTAATACAACAGACTAGAAAAGTCAGGAAGCTTGAATGGGTACAATACCTAGCAGCTGACTAACTTTTCAGAAGGACAGTTAATACCAAGTGGGGAATATTTAATAGAAGTTATTATTTTACTAGAATAATAACTAGGTTCTGATAACCTCAACTCCTTCCCTTTGATCACCACCCCTTCCCAAACTAGGGGCTAGCTATCACAGAAAGTGTTTTGTGTGTTCTCTAAGAATTTCTCCCTAAGAAAAGTGCACATTTAGAATTAAAATTCAGCTTGATTTTCCCTCTTTGAGGAAGTTAAGCCTACATATGGCCAGATTAAAAATTTAGTATACGACCCCAAATTTATATGCTTCCGGTACATGTCAATCCATCTAACATCTCCACAAATTATAGTGGAACCACACTGTATTTTTGCAATAGTGCAGAATATGAAACAAGACAAGCCTAACCTGGACCAAACCTTTATCTCTAACCCTGATACATTTCTAGGACTCCAGATCTTTAATCCCTATGCTTCTGCCCATCTCCACTGTGACTACCTGGCAAACTGCTATTCAAAACTCTCTTCAGAAATCACTACCTCTTTGAAGCTTTTTCTAACCCAACAGAAGACTTAACTACTCACTCTTGCAGAAAACCCCTAGAACCCTTACCTAATCCTCATGATTTATCTCTCACACTTACAGGTCTGATTTATCTTCTACCTTGGAGGCCCTGGGAAGACAGGAACCATGTCTTAGTCCTAAAATTTAGCACTGAGCCTGGCACATAAGCAGTTCTCGAAAACTGATGGTAAATTGAATAAATAGTGTAGTCAGTGCAAGACTTTACAAAAGAAGCTATGCTACCAACCACCCTGGTTTCCCTTTTTCCCTACCTGACCCCTTCCCCCACTTATTCTAAAATGTGGCTCTGATTGGATCACTTGAGCCTAACAGTCAAGGCCCTCCACATTCCAGACCCAAGCGACCTTTCCAACTTTATTTCCAACTACTAGCTCTCTCGTGTGTGCTCTGCATACTAACCAGACAGACACTATCCTTTACTACCCAAGCACATCTACCCCCCTCCCCCCCAACTCTAAGCCGTTGTTCAAGCTACCATTTAGGTTCTTTGGCTGAATAAAACAGAACTGATTCTGGCTAACCTAAGCCAAAAAGGGAATTTATTAGAGTAATTCAGGGTGGCTTACAGCATCAATGGAAAAGATGAGTTCCCAAGCTCAGGGAAGACAGTACCCAGGGTGGCTCAGGAAACCAAGGGAGCAGGAAGTCACCGACAGTCTCTGCAGAAGGAGAGTTAAAATTCCAATTCCTGGCAAAAATTCACTGAATGTCCTTGCTTGGGTAAAGTGTTCACCTCTTGACCTGGACAGGGCATGGCAGCCTGTCAGTTCCACCAAGACTGGGTTTAGGGAGTTCCTCAACGGAAAATTGAGGAGCTGCTCTCGTAAGATAGAATGGGGGATTCTGGGCCTTCCGAAACAACAGAAACCCACTGCTTGCAACTCTTACACTCTT